CTCTATCGTTGGTCGAAAGTTGAAGCATTACCTACCCGTGGGAGGTTAATATAGTTTCACAACTTCCTGGTCTAAAAAGTCAAGCTCTGACTCTGGGCACAAAAGCTGATCCTCTAGTAATATGGCACTTACTTTTCACACCTGACATGTTAGATATAGTGGTTCAGTGGACAAATGTAAAAATAAGTGGTTACCGTTAAAAATTCAAGCGTCAGAACAGAAGTGAAATTAGTGACACAGATGTAACTGAACTTCGAGCATTTCTAGGGATATTGATATACAGCGCAATATTCAAGTCAAATCATGAAAATATACGCACTATTTTTGCCACTGATGGTAGCGGAAGAGACATTTTTCGAGCTGTGATGAGTAAGGATAGATTTGCTGTGCTTTTGGCTTGTTTACGTTTTGACAATCCAGACACCCGCAAAGAAAGAAAAAAAGAGGATCCCACTGCTCCGATTTCAGAACTTTTTGAACAATTTATTCATAACTGTCAAAGTGTTTATACAATCGGTTCCTCGGCGTGCATCGATGAAATGTTGGTGAGTTTGCGTGGACGATGTAGTTTTAGAATTTTACATGCCTAACAAGCCAGACAAGTATGGCATCAAATTGTTGTGCTTAGTAGATGCAAGAAATGGCTATTTATATAATAGTTATATATATTGCGGTAAAAATTCAGATGGAATAGGACTATCAGAAGAGGAAAGAAAATTATCCATTCCAACGCAATCCGTACTATTTTCACATCCGTTGTTTCATACTAATCGTAACATAACAGCTGATAATTGGTTTTCTTCAATTCAGTTGGTTGAAACTCTAAAAAAAATGGTCTGACATACGTAGGAACTTTGAAGAAGAACAAACGGGAAATCCCATGTGAATTTCAACCCAATAGAAAAAGGGAAGTGGGGACTACTTTGTATGGTTTTACAAAAGAAATGACCATGATATCCTTCTGCGGAAAGAAAGGAAAGTCGACCATTCTGCTTTCCTCTATGCACCACCAAAAAGAGACTGACCTCACTATAGGAAAACCTGAAATAGTATCCTTTTATAACCGAAATAAGGGTGGTGTCGACACTTTAGACGAAAAATGTTCCAAGTGCACATCAAGTCGTCGTACACAAAGATGGCCCATGGCAATATTCTTCAGGATATTAGATGTTGCATGCACGAATGCGTATATACTTCACCAGTCCTATAGAGATAACCCGAATATCTCACAGAAATATATATTTCTGAAAGAGCTAGCAATGAAAATGGTTGCACCTCAACTTCAAAGGAGAGAGTCAAATCCCTGTATAACACGGGAACTAAAATGTTGTATTCGTCGCATTTTGCAAAAGGAAGAAACAGAAGTATTGAATACTGATGATGAAATTCTGGAAAAAAGAAAAATTTGCAGCATATGCCCTAGCAAAAAAAGGAGAATGACCAATGTTCAGCCTGCAAAAATGCAATATACCTACAATGCGCAAAAAAGTGTGTATTCGTTGTATTGACAACTTTTAAAATGTAAACCTTAAATCATAGTTTATATGTTGCAATATTCCTGGAATATGTTTTTTATGTACTTTTCTCTTTATAAAAAGTTGAAATATTAGTTTGTGTATATGGTTTTTATTGGTATAATCATTTTCTATATACTTTTTCTAATTAGTAAAAAATTAAAAGTTTGTTTTCGAAATTTAAACAGTAATAAAAATTGATTTTTAGAAAAATGAAGGATTATTAATATTGATTATCAACTTATTTTAGTAATATATATCTTTATACATGCAAAATTTAACACAAACCTGATTTTTTTTAATCTCTTGCAATGATTTTACTAGGGTAGTCTGATAGACGACGCGTCAGTATCTATGTCCAAATAACGGAGCGTCAGTACTTAAGGGTTAATAAAATTTTGTATAAGCACTTAATGAAGTATAATAAGTAAATGATAAAAATTTCAAAATGATTGCACTGCTTTAAAGCCCTTTGACCTTTAATAATGTGTGGATGCACCCTGATGTGCTACGCATTCTCCAACGCGCCTAGGCATGCTTCTGATCAGGTGCTCAATGTCCTCCTGTGGTATCTCATTCCAGGCAACCACCAACTCCTCTCGAAGTGCTTCTAGAGTCTGTGGAGGACGTTGCAAATTGAGCAATCTCCTACCCATCATATCCCACACGTGCTCAATTGGGGATAAGTCGGGAGATCTTGGTGGCCATGGTAACAATGTGACATCATTATGTTGAAAGAAGTCTATTGTGACTCTTGCAACATGTGGTCGGGCATTATCTTGTTGGAAAGTTGGATCTGCCATGGTGTCAAGATAGGGTAAAAGATGGGATTCTAGAACTTCGTGGATATAACGCTGCGCGTTCATGTTACCTCTGATGAAGATTAAATTTGACCTGGAACCATAAGCTATAGCACCCCAAACCATAACTCCAACAGTATGATGAACATGTCTTTCAACAAATAACTGTGGATTCCTCCTTTCACCACGTCGCCCTTTAACCCTGGCACGACCATCGTGCATGCCTAAACAAAATCGAGACTCGTCACTAAAGACAATACTGTTCCATTCCTGATCCCAGAGTGACCGTTGTCTGCACCACTCACGGCGATTACGTCGGTGTTCCCGAGGTAAAAGGAGGACCCAGTGTGGCCGGTATGAAAACAAGCCAAAACTTCTCATTCGTCGGTAAACACTTCGCATGCCAATAGGTCTTCCGTGTTCTGCAAACCATTCATTTGCAATGGACCTGGTAGTGGAGAAACGGTCCCTTAAGGCCAATAATCTTAGGCGGCGATCTTCACGGTCTGTTGTTCTACGGCGGCGTCCAGTGCCCCTTGCTCTTTGCGTACGGCCTTCTGGAAGCCATGCCTGACAACACCTAACCACAGTGTCTACACTTTTTTACACTCTAACTGCAATTGCCCGAAAAGAAAGTCCAGCTTCACGAAGGCGAGAAAAGACTATGAAAATCTAAACTAACAATTCAATTGTATTGATTCTATAACATTATCAGCTCTAATGGTTCCATTACACGGCAATAGTAAAATACCAAAAGGTACGAAAGGTGACTCATACCTGCAGCATATTTAAAGCCCATTTTAGCAACATTGACTGCTAAATTGACACAATATACTCGACATTTTTTTGTTGGAGAACATTGTTAAATTTCCTGCGTTTTCGAAATGAAGCAGCGAAAATTGTCAAAGCTGAACGTTATTTTTTACCAATAGCAGAATCTAGTGATATGCCATAAGAGTTTGTTAGTATAAATCACTTTACCAAGTTCACGGGCTGGAAATTATTACACGATTTCGTAGGGGAATCTTAAACGAAACCAACAATTTAAAATGTTAATTCTAGCCTTTGGCGTTCTAGAAAGGGGAGAAGATCTAAAAAGGGTTGGTGAGAAAATTGGGTTGATTAGTATTAATATATTTAAATAGAAGAAAAACAATGCCCAACTTTGATACACTTTACACCGAACTGCGAATTTTAGGGAAGATATTTGCATTAGATTTTATCAGAAAAGCCAAAATATCATCTGTCTGCGTTATAGGTATAGTAAACAACACAAGGTGTTGCAGACACTAGCGTACCTAGAAAAAAGTTTTGAATAGGGCTCAGAATTACATAAGAAAGTTCTAGAAGTTTGATGGTTTGTTTAGCATAATTTTTTGTACAATTTTGAGGATTTTACTTCCACCCGGGAAAATTTTCTACCCTCCGCTCTTCAAAAAGGTACACTTTCACAGAAAGTTATCTCTTGCCGATGACCTCCCCCTGCATTGGAAACATTCTTGTGGGCGCCCATGATACTGTTGCTGTCTTATATAAGTTAAATTCAGCCCCAAAGCTCCCCCCTGATCACCCCCTCGGTCACAGAATCTTGTAACCAAAACTGGAGAGCAGATCCAGAATATCAAAGTATAAAAGAAGGTCCATATACAGGGTTTGTTCGGAAAGTAATAGGACTCATTTTCTTCGGCCATGCTGGAAGATCTTCGACGTCGACAAGCACCGATAATGTGACTTGTGCGCGCAAAGTTTTGAACTCAGACCGTCGACTAAGTATTCGTTTAATTGCCCAGATGTTAAATTTAGGCGAGTGGAAGTGTGCCAAGGAAATTTGAACATGTGTGAAAGTGACCCCCAATTTTTGAATAACGTAATCACAGGTGACGAGTCGTGGATCTTTGAGTATGATCCCGAGACATAGAGGCAATCTTCCGAGTGGCACACGACGGCGTCTCCTCGCCCAAAAAAAGGAAGAATGAGCAAATCCAAAGTAAAAACGATGCTCATTGTCATTTTTGACATCAAAGGCATCGTCCACCATGAATTTGTTCCTCCTGGATAACCTTCAACGCCAAGTTTTACGTGGAAGTGCTCAGGAAACTCAAGCGAAGGGTCAGTCGGGTCCGTCAAGACATCGCAGCCGACTGGAAGTTTCACCACGACAACGCCCCGGCTCACATCGCCTGGTGAACAGCTACCTGACCAAGGCCGGCATCCCAACGCTTCCGCCGCAGCCGCCCTACAGCCCAGATATGCCCCCCGGACTTTTTTTGTTTTTAAAGAATTGTAACGATTGGCTCAATAAATTTTTTTTAATCGACTCAGTCCTATTACTTTCTGGACAAACCTTGTATATAGGTCTGCAAATTCATCACAGACTGAGATATTGAGGAGAGTGATGTATGTTCAAATTTGTCTTGTAAAGCAGTAACAACAGTAGCTTTATTGCCGAAATGTCTCAATGTTGGCCAAAAAAAAAAACACACACACACAGACATTACACCATTGGTTTGCGCGAAAAATTGGTATCAGTATCTTGAGGCGAGATTGACTGTACTTAAAAACTGCATCTTAGTGTTTTTTGTTCAGAGCGTTTGACATTGTACACATTTTATCACAAAAAAGGAATTTCCAGACCTATGCAGGATTTCTTATATTTTTATATGCTGATTTACACTTAAATTTTCCTGACAATGTTTAGTTACGCCCCGTATGAGGGATTAGTTGTGCTTCCCACGATAATAAGGGCTATCCTAAAAAAATTCAGTGGCACAAAAGTAAAAAGTGTGGATGCATAACTTACCAGTCGTAAAAAGTACTATGGCCTTGAGACAGGAATACTCTGCTGAGTCTACGTGTAATGCTTTTAATTTTTCTACTTGCTCCTGGAAAAAATAGGAGAATTTTACTTTTCCTTAGATAAACCGACATAGAAAAAATTAACAACCACTGATAATCAATTTATTACAACCATCTGATTGCCAATTCCATTTTATTTATCCAGTCATCAAACCTTCCAGGGTTTTCTTCTCATCCATTAATTTTAGTCACTTTTGGAGTTTGTATTCATCTCATTATCCCTTTTTCTTTTTTTTTTTAGGCACTGAAGTCTCTATGCAGGTACGTATTTTTTGCTATTCATACATTATTTTAGCCAGGATGAGTCCATTGTGTTAGATTGCCCTTTTGGTGTTACTGTAATGCAAATGATTCCTTACCTGAAATATTCTAATGTGATCCATGAACTGTACAACCCTGTCCGCGCACATCGGGGATGCATGCAACCCTGCGGCAGCAATAAGGGGTGCCACGTGGAGGGGCATTGAGCACTGACTAGCGTTCAACACGAACAGTTCTGACCAGACTAGCCTCAGCAGCGCTACCTGAAACAACAAACAACGAAAAATCCGTCAAGTAGAATCATTTTGTAATCGGACAAATATTACGCGAGTACCAAAAGGGGGTGGAGGGTACCTTGTTTTGCATAGGCAATGTTTATAAAAACAAAAAAAAATATAATATAATACTGAACCATACTAAGTGACATATAGATCCGAACACCCAGTTTAAATGGTTTTAAGTACGATTTCGTCAACTTAGTGAGTTTGATAGGGTCCGTATAGTGAGACTTCGGGAAGCTGTACTTTCTTTTCGGGCAATTGCAGTTAGAGTGCAAAGAAGTGTAGACACTGTGGTTAGGTGTTGTCAGGCATGGCTTCGAGAAGGCCGTACGCAAAGAGCAAGGGGCACTGGACGCCGCCGTAGAACAACAGACTGTGAAGATCGCCGCCTAAGATTATTGGCCTTAAGGGACCGTTTCTCCACTACCAGGTCCATTGCAAATGAATGGTTTGCAGAACACGGAAGACCTATTGGCATGCGAAGTGTTTACCGACGAATGAAAAGTTTTGGCTTGTTTTCATACCGGCCACACTGGGTCCTCCCTTTAACTCGAGAACACCGACGTAATCGCCTTGAGTGGTGCAGACAACGGTCACTCTGGAATCAGGAATGGAACAGTATTGTCTTTAGTGACGAGTCTCGATTTTGTTTAGGCATGCACGATGATCGTGCCAGGGTTAGAAGGCGACGTGGTGAAAGGAGGAATCCACAGTTTTTTGTTGAAAGACATGTTCATCACACTGTTGGAGTTATGGTTTGGGGTGCTATAGCTTATGGTTCCAGGTTACCTTTAATCTTCATCAGAGGTAACATGAACGCGCAGCGTTATATCCACGAAGTTCTAGAACCCCATCTTTTACCCTATCTTGACACCCTGGCAGATCCAACTTTCCAACAAGATAATGCCCGACCACATGTTGCAAGAGTCACAATAGACTTCTTTCAACATAATGATGTCACATTGTTACCATGGCCACCAAGATCTCCCGACTTATCCCCAATTGAGCACGTGTGGGATATGATGGGTAGGAGATTGCTCAATTTGCAGCGTTTGGAATACCAAAAGGATACAAAAAATAGCAATGCTCAGTTCCTATAGGAAGCAGTTTATAATAGATTTTAAGGTTGGTTTTGGAACAGATAGGACCTTTTGTTTTGTATGTGACAAATAACAGTGTATCAGATTAAAGGTACCCCACACCGACGCGATACATCGATAGCGGTAGCGTCAGCATTAAAAATCGCATAGCTGCACGTTCACACCACCGCGGTACGGCAGTTTTCTGATCTGTGCGATATTCTCGAAGGTTTTTTGATTTCTTAATCAATATGTCATCTGATGAAGAACAACTATTATCATTATTGGCCTTAGCAGAAGATAAAAGGCGAAAAAGAAGTATTTTGATGATAATTAATGATTGTGTTCAAGGAAAAAGAAGAAATAGATACATGATATCAATAAACTAAGAAAGATATATGGAGAATATCATACTTTAATGATCGAATTACCTAGAGATCCACAACGTTTTTACGTGTACTTTCGATTGCTTCGATGAAATCTTAAGTTTAAAGAGATCCCACACTCTATCCCTTTTCCTGCAAATTTTATAGTATTCGAGACTTAAATCGTACAGTACTGGGTACTTCTTAACGTGTTCGATTAATTTCTCCGTTGTGGATACCGTGAAAAACGTGGCGGTATGCGATACGAACCGCGTCAGCACCGTTTTTAAAATGAAACTGTGTCAAGGGCCACCCCACCGCGCTGGTGTGATCGGTGTTATTTACCGCTCTGAAAACTGAGCACCGAATGCACAGCGTTGCGATTATCGCTATCGCCTTACCGCGTCGGTCTGGGGGATCCTTAATTTCGGCGTCAGTAAAATCGCAGCAGAGACAACTTAAGTAGCAAAATTTCAGGGTATATCATACCAAAATGTTTTGGACGAACGCGGAGCTCTGGTTTTGTAGATCTACGACTCTACGTCATTAACAAATATCTATCTTTGTACAATATAGCCTTAGATGTTTTTTCGGGGGTGTTAGTAGCATAATGATGGGTTTACCTGGTCAGTAACTTGGAGATCAGGAAAAAACGGTATGTTCCTTGCCCATTCCACCGCCGAGAAGAGTAACCTCGCTGCCAACTCGCAGATGTTGTCAATCCCCATGATGTTGTTCGGTTGGATGCATTGACCGTACCTGCTCGTAGGGTAAGGTTCTGCACGCAGCAACAACGATATGTAACTGCTGAGGTACGTGTGATTACTCAGTGAGGTAGTGACTGAATCTGTGGAGTTGAGGAACTGATTCGGCAGACCTGGGAGTGAAGGTTGAGATGGTGGCACTCTCCCTCTCTGGACGGCTGGAACAAAATTGAGGTTTGAAAAAATAGATGCCTTACCTATCACAGAGAGTGCATACTGTTTAGTTGGGTTTATTGAGGTTATCGATTTAATAACTGACTGGTTTGTATCTTGAATATTTGTGAAATGAAATACGTTCATTTTTTTCATTTTAATATTTTATTGAAACTTAGAAATTATGTATGAAAAATAATATTAGCCAAATATCCGCCTGTAGAATCCGCGCAAACATGAGCCCTCTTGATTACATTTTCCATCATTTTCCGGTAGGTTCTGTAATATTGTTCTTCAGCTGCTCTGCAGTATTTGGTTTGGTGGCATAAACTCTATTTTAAAAAAGTCTCCATAAAGGAAAGTCAGGAGCCGTTAAATCCGGTGACCTTGGTGGCCAGTTGACATCACCAAATCGAGAAATTAAACGTCCCGGAAATACTGTTCGCAAATGATTCATTGTGTCCCTAGCTGTGTGACAAGTTGCTCCGTCCTGCAGGAACAACATGTTTGGGACAATTCTGTTTATTAACAAATCCGTTCCATTCATGTATTGTGGCCGACTTTCATGCTCACTAGGCCGTACTGAATGTCGTATGGCCGCAAATGCAAGTATTTAGTTTTAAATAGTGAATAATGACGTGCTACGAATACCCAGTTCTTGAGAACGATGTCTTGTATAAGTACTTAATGAAGCATAATAAGTAAATGATAAAAATTTCAAAATGATTGCACTGCTTTAAAGCCCTTTGACCTTTAATAATGTGTGGATGCACCCTGATGTGCTACGCGCCTAGGCATGCTTCTGATCAGGTGGTCAATGTCCTCCTGTGGTATCTCATTCCAGGCAACCACCAACTCCTCTCGAAGTGCTTCTAGAGTCAGAGGAGGACGTTGCAAATTGATCAATCTCCTACCCATCATATCCCACACGTGCTCAATTGGGGATAAGTCGGTGGTGGCCATGGTAACAATGTGACATCATTATTTTGAAAGAAGTCTATTGTGACTCTTGCAACATGTGGTCGGGCATTATCTTGTTGGAAAGTTGGATCTGCCAGGGTGTCAAGATAGGGTAAAAGATGGGGTTCTAGAATTTCGTGGATATAACGCTGCGCATTCATGTTACCTCTGATGAAGATTAAAGGTGACCTGGAACCATGAGCTATAGCACCCCAAACTATAGCTCCAACAGTGTGATGAACATGTCTTTCAACAAAAAACTGTGGATTCCTCCTTTCACCACGTCGCCTTCTAACCCTGGCACGACCATCGTGCATGCCTAAACAAAATCGAGACTCGTCACTAAAGACAATACTGTTCCATTCCTGATCCCAGAGTGACCGTTGTCTGCACCACTCTAGGCGATTACGTCGGTGTTCTCGAGTTAAAGGGAGGACCCAGTGTGGCCGGTATGAAAACAAGCCAAAACTTCTCATTCGTCGGTAAACACTTCGCGTGCCAATAGGTCTTCCGTGTTCTGCAAACCATTGATTTGCAATGGACCTGGTAGTGGAGAAACGGTCCCTTAAGGCCAATAATCTTAGACGGCGATCTTCACGGTCTGTTGTTCTACGGCGGCGTCCAGTGCCCCTTGCTCTTTGCGTACGGCCTTCTCGAAGCCATGCCTGACAACACCTAACCACAGTGTCTACACTTATTTGCACTCTAACTGCAATTGCCCGAAAAGAAAGTCCAGCTTCCCGAAGTCCCACTATACGGCCCCTATCAAACTCACTAAGTTGACGAAATCGTACAGGTCTCCATACTCTAGGCATCGTAACCGATCGTAAAGGATGTCAAGAACCAAAATCCGCCAACGTTGATTCTTTACTGCGGCTGAAATATTCATTTTTAGAGCGTTAGTGAATTAAAAAAAAGCAGTATAAAAACCGGAATGTCCAACTGATAAGGCAGAAAATTTTTTCACTTGTTATTTACAGTAAGATAAATACATTCACCAACTTTTATTAAAATAAAACCATTTAAACTGGGTGTTCGGATTTATATGTCACTTAGTATATTTTCCGCTCTATCCATGTCCGTGGTCAAAAGTATAGCATAGTAAAAAGACAATATACAAATATTCAACATGTTCATATGAGTTACGGTACTCAAACATTCAAAAGTTGCTTGCATCGATATGTTTTACCTCATTTTTAAACCGGAAATATGACCAATAGAAAAATCAATTATTCGTGATGCGAAAACAAAAGACTGTTTATTCCATTCTTACCAAAACATAAAGGGCGATTTTCGTAAATTTGCATACTATCAAGTTCGGAATATAAATTTGAAAAAACACCAGACGTACTTGATAAGCCGTCCGCACAATTCGGTGTGATCTGAACGGATTCTTTTTTACTTTTTTCGGTTTATTGATGATCGGGTATCCTATTCTGGATGATAAATCCAATCACTGGTCAAGTGGATGAAAGCAGATACGCAGGCATTTGGAATGCCGCACCGAGCTCATATTTTGAAAGCATAATCAAAATTATGTATAGCGAAATGCGTAACAAGTTATTAAACCTTGAAAGGTCACGAGCTTTGTAAGATCACTATCGACACATTAATTTAGACTGATCTGATGAAGTTTTGCTATTGCAGGTGTCCAGCATGAGTGTATACAAATTAAGTGTTGGAAGAAAGATTTATAGATAAATATTCCCCACGAATTCATAGACATCTATTTGCGTTTTCCCATATCGAGCTCCTTGAAAATATTTGCAGCGGCGGCATCATGACTTTTGAATACTTATTTATATACGGTGACAAAAAATACTTGAATATAAATGCAAGAACACCAAGTGAGCTTGAAAAAAGTAAAACAAATGTGTATCGCTGAAGGTGCCGAGAACATGTTGCGCAACATGTGCGAAGTGAATTATCCCGTTTTCGGTTTCAATATATCAGACGTTTTATTTATCAACCTGGCCGAGCGCAACTGTGATCATTTGTCGATACCGATTACCATGAATGAAGGGCGAGTATGGTTGTGACTATTTTGTGTTGTGACTCTAAATCTGTTAGTTAATTTATGAAAAATCTCGCCCAAGTAAAACTAGATATAAACACAATTACCTCAACCAAAACCAAGAAACACACAAACAAACAAGTTAGACGCTCTGAGAAAAAGAGAAATTGAATGGACCAAGTCAGTCAAACAGAGCCACGAAATTGCTCCATAGACATAATTTTCCTGCCCTAGCAGTACTCCATCTGACAACGTCGCATCTACCCGATACCTGACGGCATAACGCGTCAGACGTGGCAGCGAGGCAGTAAGGTCAGAACACTTATCAAGATCGGCCGCCCGTCGGTAATGCCAGACAGCAGAATATCGAAAGCAAATGGACGGGGAAAAATATGTAGACGAATTTTACAATGAAATTTAATGAGTGAATTCAAAAACTATAAAGTATCTATAGAATAGTTGTGGAGGCTGCAAAGACCTTTGAAATGAGACCGCATATGTCAAGTTTGCTGCAGCGATATTTTTTCTGGATGGTAATCAGCAGAAAGGATTTGACTTTTCAGATTAACCGCCACTGCAGATTGATTTTCAAGGTCTTTTCATGCTCTTCTGTGTTAGCTTGACACCGATGTTTATGTTGTCTATCAAACCAACAATCTGTATCGATTGATTATCTTTACGGCTAAGTGGCTTGTATAAATATTTGTCCGATGCGGTAAACAGAAACCTGTTGACATGCAAACATTTATTTTTATTTTTATGACCGACATAATATCCACCTGCTGGCTTTTAAGGCTAGGAAAGATTTTCAAACTCTGATTGAATCTCATTTCCGGCTAAGCATATCCTCAATTAACCCTTAACCCCTCCCGCGTTTGCATTTATTTTCATTTGTTTTCGGACCGGATCATAGGCGTACGGAGAATCATTTTCAGTAGGTTAAGGCGTCACGTAAAGTGGATAGAACTGCCTATGTTGTGTCAAAGGGGAAGATACTCATGGAGCCTGATTGGAACAGGATTTTGTCATTGATGTGGCGCTCATGTCATACATATGATCCGTTACGATAACATTGACACATGATTCTATCAATTCTTTATATTCAAATTAGCATTTTTACGTACGTACTTTTGTACGAAATAAAGATCATTCATTACTATAACTAGAATTGACGCTCGACGAGAGGCTCACTGCTGACAACATTGCTAGACACGTAAGCGAGGGCAAATCGCTTGACATTCAACCAATGGTGAGGAGGATGATGCTAAGCAAGATCCAGGATCATAAAAACATGCTAAGGACTCAGATTTTCTGCCTGTGAGTGTCTATAGAAGCTCTCCGCTACCCAAAAAGAGTAGGTCAGGATAGTATATAATGGGTGATTTTTTTGCTAGTATCTTTTTGGCAACACTGTTTTTGGCAGATGACGCGTGAATCGTATCTTGTGTCACTGTCAGTCTTGTTCAGTTTGGTCTATAATTTATACCTCTTAAAAAATCACCCGTTACTTGCGTTTCGTCACATTTTCTATAAAGTTAATGAATATTTATGTTGCCGAGACAATGCATCCATTCAGGTTTTTCGGAAATTTGAATGAAATCGACAGTTTGGTTCCTGCTTATAAATATCATTTGCGTGGGATGAATATTTTTAATATTGATTAGTTTCTATATGATCAGTTTTTTTAGATGATTATTTCCCTTTATCAAATAAAATTATATTGGAGAACATCATTACGGCGTAAACCACAAGTGTATCAACTTTCGAACCAAACATTTCAAAAACAACATTGTGGATTTGTAGTCTGTGAAGATCCTTCCAAAAATCGCTCAAATTAGGTTTTTTGACGTTTCAGAAGATCCTGATCAATTTTGAAAAAGGGTTTCAGGAGGAAGAGTGTTCCGCAATTTTTTGTGTTAGTTTATTTATTTATAAT